ATGCGAACACAAAACAAGAGTCTGTCAGTTAAATCTTCCTACAAATCTCCGTGTTTATGCTAAGACCCTTTAATTGGTAGCTTAAGGAGCAGAACACAGAACTACAAAAGAACACTTCATACTTTATTAGGCTACTCTATTATTAAGCCTACTTAAAAATTATAGAAAGCTCTACATATGCACAGCATTCCACCACAAATAAAAGAAACTTCTAAATCACAAGCTACAGTTTCATTTGACGGGCGAGTTTATATAAATGTCTTCAATAATAATTTATTATTAGCAGTTGTATCATTAACATCCACCAACAAACGTGCACTTTCAGAAACTGTAATCAGATCTGCAGCCTCAGAGATTAAACTGTTCCTTTATTCGCATTTTGTTTTGTTTCATATAATGCAGAAATACTCCTTTATAGAAGGTCATTGATACTGTGAGACTAACCAGCGACTGGCAATTTCTGGGGATCTTACTGCCCACTCCCATCATCCTTAAGCCTTAGATTCACACTGTCCTCTTCGCAGTATAAGTCTTTGGTTGAAACAAACCTGCCACAATGCCACAGACTAATGACGCACACTAAAAAAAAAATTTAAATTAAAAAAATAATTATTTCTTAATTGTGTGTATATTGGCTTAAATATAAGCATCAGCCAAATTTATCTCAGAAGTGTCTAAGAGTTAGATTTGTAAGACAGCTGTGTGTAGCTGAAGCACCTAAATAATCTGACAAAAAAAAGAGTAAACAAAGCAGCGTTAAACTCCAGTCTACCATGACTTGGCTGCTTCTCAAAATTGAGGGCACATCTGAAAAGTGTGGAAGTAAAGCAAATCCACTGTTGAGACATCTAACAATTTACTAGTGTAGCAAATAACATCTCTCTTATTAATGGTCATTTCACAGGGTACACAAGATCACATTTTCTGGGAACTCATAAAGTGTGAGGAAAAGTGATAAACTCCCTTCAACCCTTTCCCTTATTCTTCATTCTCCCTAAACTGTTGCACTGAAAGTTCAGCTTGTTATTATGGTGGTCCCTGTGATAAAAAAAGGTCAGGAGATGCCACACTGTCTTGAAAGATGGCAGGAAAAAATATCAAGAAATCCTCATGGGAGACAAACTGATAGTTTAAAGCAGTGACTTCACAAGAATTCATTAAGTCAGGATGGTGCTTTGTATGTCTGGGTGCAAAGCACAAAATGGCTGATAAGGTACATAGTGTTAAAATGCACAGAAAGTCCAAGGATCTGGCAGGTGAAATGGAACTTAGAGATGCAAAAACATTTAACTGCTTTACGGTAGGTATCTCAGAGTGGGAGTAAATGAGAAATTACCTCTTTTTAAATGATTCATATTTACAGAAGTTTGTTCTAGAACCTATCATAAAAAAACAAAATGAACACAGTCCTCCATCAATATAGTCAAACAAAAGTGAAGCACATAACCTATCAATCAAACACTTGTCACTACCAAAATTCAGAGCATTATTAGTAACACTGTCACAGGCCAGTGACATGATAGTTACTATGAGAAATGAGGTTGAGTGGTCACCTCCCTCATTGGACAGGATGCTTCTCTAGGGAATCCCCATCACTGCTCTTCCCAACTGACTACTGGGGAGCAGTTTTCCCTTGTCTTTCTCTCTCCTCCTATTCTTTCCTAAGGTAACTTTGAAGTCAATGTATGCCATCAGCTTCAGACTCCATCAGTGAAGCTTTGTAAGACTGTCTTGACTTTCTTTGTACGACAGCATGAATCAACTTGAGGGTGCTACTCATAAAAATTGCATAGTACCTACTTCTGTGGAATACAGAACAAGATATGAAGCTGCTTATTACCTGATCATAGGTAGTAAGTCCAGCCCATAATATGAATAAACTGATGTTAGGAAAGCAATATCTGTCAGAATGGAACACCTGGTTTCCAGAAAAATAAAACTTACTAATTTACCTAAACCAGGCTATAATAATGTTATATCTTAAAGGCTGTCCTTCTTCCAGTTTAAAAAAAAAAAAAAAAATTGTATAAAACTTAAATGTGAGGGAACTGACTCTTAATAAGACATAAACTACTATGAAACATAAGGAAGAAAAAACCATTTATGTATAGCCTGTTATCTAATACGCTCTTTAAACATGCAAGCAAATACATTGGTCCAGGTGCTAGTAATGAGTCTGGCAAGAGCTATTGGAAAGCTAATTCAATATGACCAGTGGGGAAGATAGAAGAGAAGCAGTCACCACATAATTAAGAACTTTAAGTAGCATCCATTCGTTCTGATTAAAACACCAAAAAAGTATTGTGCTTTTTTGTTGTAGGAAGGCCTTTAATTTAGTCAGATCATTTTTTCAATTAGAAGCTTAAGGATTAATGGATTTGAGGTCCAAGTAAAGGCTGTCTTCTTCAGTAACCTATTAAGTTTCCAGTCACAGCTTAAACTGTACATTCATCTTTCAACAATACACATGAAAAGTGATCTTTTTACTATAATATCATACCTTAGTTAAAACACTAGATCACGTTTCCAAAAATATTCCAGATTCCAAGATCATTTAGCTTACTTAAATCACAGAAACAGATTAAATTCCATATACTGCATGCATATATTACATGCAAACATTTTATTTTCTTATCTTCTCAATTACAAATACTCAGAGGCATTGTAATTGAACTAGGAAGCTCAATCCCACAAAACTGCATTATATCTTGTATGCCATATTTTACTACCCTCCCTCTTCTTTACTTTTCTTTTATGCCAACTGCACTCACTGGACAGAAAGTCATTTAAGATTTAGGGATCAGTGATATCAGAGTAACTGCTGGTTATTCCCTCAAGCTACTCTTAAAAGCCCTACCAAATTTTTCTCAATTGATTTGGAGCTACCAGTCTTCTTTGGTTATACTTAACTTAGTAAAATCATTTTACATGCCAGATTTAGCACTTGGATAATTCCAGAACTACCATCGAGAAGTTACATTATAGGAAACATTAGGAAATGTGACAAAAACTATTACAAAATAAGAAACTGGATTTTCCTTTTTGGGAACACTAAAAGAAAATTCATTTAATTTCTCACAGATTACTTATTTCTGTTAAACACAGTGTTCACTACCTTCTGTTTAACATGTCTACATATCTGATCTTACGTGCCCAATTTGTTTTAGACTCTCAAAATGGACATGTAAATCTGCTATTACACTCTGGCAAAATGCCTTTTTACTGAGTCTAGTCAAATATAAGTAGTATAATCTTACTAAAAGAAAACAAAGAAGCTATTAGAAAATACCCTTGAATTAAATTCATTGTTTTTGCCAGCTCTATAGTTACTTCTTCAACCCAACCATTTCTAAGCATAGTGTATCAGGAAAAGAAGTGCATTTTAGCTACTTTAATAATAAAAAAATCCCACAATTTTTTTTTGGTAGTAAAATAAATTACACATTGCAGAAAATCCTGTTTTCTAAGCTTGCCAGATTTGATGACAGAACACCAAATCAGACTCTAGCTGACAGAAGGCCAATAAACTCTGCATGGTGGCTATTAAAGAACTGACATGTACATTGAAAATCACGAAAGTCCTAACAATTTGTCAACTATTTGGCTTTTATAAGCTGAGCCTTGGAATCTAGAAAAATAGAAAATATGAACATGATCAGATAACTAACCTCATTTAAAATTAACATGGAGCACTGGAATACAGTGTTTTATCTCTTGGATGCTATCTATCAATACAGATACATTTATAACAGGTTAATCATTTGCTGTTCAAACAACCCTTAATTCTGTAACTTTAATGTCTGCTAATTTACTGCACTTTTGAGAGCTGAACACGAATGTTCCTCATTTACCATGCAACAACATAGTTTTCTTGTTAGAATGAACTTTCAGAATGAACTTTTTTTTTTTTTTCATTTTATAATCTGGCATTAGTAACCTAGTCACAAAAGAAAACATACTATACTATATCTTCTTTTTTTTTCGTAGTGTGCAAAACGTTTTGTTACATTTCAAATCATATCAACAGTCTTCTCTACATTAGAAGCAGATATTACTGAGCAAAACCAACTATTTTGATTAACTTAAATACTTACACTTCTGTATTTGACAATATATTCCAAAATGGGGGCACCACCATCATCTTGTTTAGTTATGCTAAGTTTAAAACTCTTGCCACTTCCTGGCTGTCCATGAATTGAAGGGGGGCTTGGTTCCCCTAAACAAGGGAAAAAACAGTAGATAATAGTAATTCAGTAATAGGATTGGTCTTAAATTACAGCTGGGAATGTGTCCACAGTATTACTAATTAAAATCTTTAAAATCAACATGATCTTTCCAAGTATTGCAGAACACCCTTAATGTGTGTTAAATATTTTGCTTAAAGTATGTTCTAATGTAGACTTCACACAAGGAAATAAAATTATGAAGTATAAAAGAAGTATTCATTTCTTTGAGACAGTCTGACTTTTGACATTTTCAAATGTAATTTACTTCACAAATGATTTAGCCATCAATTCAGAAAGGCTGGTAAGCTGCTACTCAGGCTGAAGTTTAAGAGTAACACTATATGACAGAAAAATATATTTAATATGAAGCAAAAGCTTTAGTCCCATGTGCAAGATCTAAATTGTAGTACAGATATTAGGTAAATTAACTCTTTGGTAAATGTGCTAAGGCAAAATTAGATGCTTTTAGAGTACTCTATATTAAGAATAAATGTAAGGAATACGATTTCCAAAAGCAAAAGCAATTTTCCCTGTAATGAAAAGATAAAAATAATCTTAAATCTACAATTGAAGGGTTAATAGCCAGCTTAAGCCCCTTTGCTAATTGAAATTCACAGACTTATTGTAATTTCTATATACAATGCCTATTATAAAGTTTTAAATCAGATCCTAAATGAACATGTGTTGTCATACTGAAGTGTCTTATCATCAAATTATCTGTAACCTTGTATTCACCCAGAAAGATAGTTTCTTTAGAAATATTTGTAATATTTGTGTTTATCCCTTATCAAAGTAAAGATAAATTGACTCAGATCTCAACACAGCATTTGCCTAGGTTTCTATCAGATAACATATATATAATTTCTATCAGTTTCTATCACTTTTCTATTGGGTATAATGTTACATGTGAATAATGGCAAATTATTTTACCTGTCCTTCAATATATTTAGAATCTAACCAAAAAGAACTTTGAAAGCTGTCAAGTTACCAGCTTTGGACAGAAGAGACATATCAATAACAACATAATATAATAACACAGAAATATTTTATGTTTTTTGTAGTTGTGTGACATTCATTGTTTATTCCATTAGGGCTGGTATTCTTTACTGAGTAACACCCTACTCAGAAAACAGTTCAGTTGCAATAGATTTATGAGACTAGTCTGGTAATAGTTGCTGATATATTTTGGTATATCTGTTTGTGTACTATACAGTGCCATGTGCTAGTTCCTTTACTTTCTTTCCCCCTTTGTGTTTAATTTCTGTATTATTGTTTCTATTTAAAAGTAATTTGAGAAAAATATTTTTCATTAGCCCTTAATATTTAAATGTGAATTTCTTGCCTATAAAGGTTGCTACAAATACAGAATTGGCTTTGTAGCATTTATCATTTGCATGTAGTCATAGTTAAAGCAATTTATTCTCATCATTTTTCCATAGCTTAAGATTTCTGTTTGAGGCATCATAATTGCAAAACTTGTGGCAGCATAGTTTGCTGAAGAAATGTCTCCAGAAAGGGTCAATTAATTTCTCACAGATGTGTCTAATACCCTGAGTGTAAATAAGAAAAAGTTCTTAAACTAATGTATTTCATGGTTTGTGTTCTTGAATATGAACCAAAAATTTGTCCAAGTCTCAAAAATACAGATAATGGGATAAATTCTCCAACTTAAGTTCATTCATAGTAATTGGAGGGGAGGAATAAGAGGAACAAACCATGATTTCTGAGAAACAATGTGAAGACTGATGTTATACACTGGGAAGCAGTGTATGAATATAAAACACATTATCCACAGTGAATCATACTTAAATTATTAGCTGATCTGGAGATAATGTATTCTAATAATAATTTACATTTTCATTTATTACACATTTACAAGTATTACTCACGGACAGGTAAGGTCTGAAAGATCTCAATTTTGCTATACTCTCCTTGCCCTTTTCCATTTACTGCAGCTACTTTGATCTCATATGTTGTATTTGGTTCCAAATTGCTGAGAACAACCATTGCTAAAGGAAAAGAAAGAAAAAATATGGGAACAAAATTTGATGAAGCAATAAATTTATAAAAAAAAAATCAGGCAATTTCATAATTAGCTTCACTTGCAACTTTTGAGTTCCATTTTCTAACAGTCCAGTGGTTCCAAACTTAGCTTTCTTTGAGTGCTAGTAGTCCCTTTTTTTCATCTGCATAAAATCAGAATTTGTGACTGAGCAAGTTATGCTTCTGAAGGAATTTAATGTCAGGGTTACGGAAGTCATAGGCAACAATTAAGGGACCTTAATGGGGATCGATATTTTATTTTCATCGCTAGCACAGGATACATGAATGTGGAAAAAAATGATGGAAGTTTCCTTCCTCCTAGCTGGCAACAGGCATCTGATGCACATTCAAGCCACCTTCGTAGACTTCATAACTTGCCATTTTTCCCTCATGGAGAGCAGTATCAAACATATTTGGTCTACACTCCCAGATGCAGCTACGTGCCTATTAGTGGTGAATCACTGGTGCTATGCACTGCATTTCAACAATGTATTCAAGATCTAAAATGACAAATGACTATGATGAACAAAGGAAGAGTTCCGAGTTATATACTAAGGACCTGAAAATGAATCAGGCATGTTTGTAGATATTTAAGAGGAGGTGTATAGAAATGCATATTAAGTTATAACAAATAAAAAGTTATTTGGGAAGCAAACAGGTTTGAACTTAGGACGTGCTTTCAGAAATCAAGACTGAATCCCTGGCAGCAATCTTTCACACAGTCTGAACTTATCTCTATGATTCTGCCTGGAGATGCTATCAGAAGCAGAAAACAAGGAGGAAATCTTGCCAAGAACATTGTACAGCACTGAGAATATTGTTTCTGTAATGTAAAGCAACAAATCTAGAAACAAAATCCAGGAAAAGGATGTCGGATTCCAGGATCCTTTATAGGAATGCACTATTATATATTACTGTAGCACTGTGTATTACTAATATCAATGTTGAATACGCACTTGGAAACTTCGATCCACACAGAGTTCTTGGATCTTTACCCCACCCTTACAAGAAAGCTTCCTTTTATTGTCAACAGAAATTGCCTGCTAGCTGTTTGCCAGCTCTGTGATGAGCTCTCCAAATGTCAGATTCATATTGGGGAATGGATATAAATTGGATGGACTTTACTTGAAGCACATCAGTATTTGTCTTGCCCAGAAAAGCAAGGGCTGTATTATCTTACAAGAAGACACAGAATGGTAATGTCTTGAGAAAGAGCCAGTAACCTCTTTCTCAGTCTCTAGGGAGCCTAGCTTTTTTTGCATTATAGAGGAGTATTTTAATAGGCTCTTTAGGCTTGCTTTTCAAGTTATATATTTAATGAAAGTGTAATTCTTTCTGTTAGTACTCTTTGTTATCCTTTTGAGTCAAGATTTATTAGAATTTCTATCTCTTTAGTTTCTGCAGGAGACAGAGGTCCCGTTCCATATGGAGCTGAAGGGATTTAATGAATTTTGGAAAAACGTTAACTTTTACATTTCACACTCTATTATGAGCACTTTTCAGGAATTTGCCATTGAAATGTAACTGCTTTCTTGTAACCAAACAGTAGAATTGTGTATCTTCCAGCATTTTTTCTTTATCATTTTCATGAGATTTAAAAATATCAAACTATAAAAGAAAAACATGTCATGAAAAAATGTGAAGTACCATCATGAGAATAAGAATAGAATTTGGAGAAGAGAAGGATTATGATATATAACATTCAGTTACGGTAAAATGAAATTTAAAACCTAAATCAAGCAGTAGCAGTGTTTAACTTGTCTTTCAGCCATGATTCTTTTCTAAGGCTGACTAATTTAACTGAAAATAAACCTTAGGGCATACTAAAAATTAGTGTCACTGTAAATGTTTTTAAAATTTAAACAACATATAAGCATGACTATGAGTCTACACAATAAAATGTGAATGTGTTAGCTACATAAAATGTAAAGATCTGATTTTATAAACACCTGAGTGAATCTTGCGGCCTATCTAAATGAATAAAATTGCTTATATATTCACTATTTACAGAACCAGTGTCTACTTTAGAATACCCTGCACTATGTGTCTAGATACAATGAGTCTTATAAATACATTTATGGCCTTAACACAACTAAATCTGAGAGCATAACGCGCTTAAAAACTGGAACCACTTGGTATCAGTGATGGTATGATGTGATGATGTGAATATATTTTATATGTAAGAAAAAATTATAACTGTGTCTTCCTGAGAAACAAAGAAAAGAACCATCCTTGATACGAAATCTTTAAATACTCCAGTTGTAACAGAATATTTAGAATAATTAAGTAAGATTAAGGAACTGTCCCACAGTATGTGACGAAAGTGCAGGAATTAGAAGTAATCTACAAGTAGTGAAACTTTCATTGCTTGCTAAGTGTTTTACAATTTTGACATATGTAGAAAATGGAAGAAAATACTTAATAAGCTACTCAGTTTTTTTAAGGTAC